ACAATATTCTATTTCATACAATATATTTGAGTAAAAAATTCCGTAAAACTTTTAATAAAGAAAAATATTATATTCTTCATATTAAATAATTACTTTTAAAAATTTTAAATCCTTTAATGTTCAATTTTCATAGAAACATATATTTTTAATAACTATTTAAACGAGAAACTTGAATTGATGAGAGGTATGATGTCAAAGGTTTTTGTTTTATGAAATAACATCTATTTAACATTTCTTTAAACATTTTGTATTCAGCAGTAATAAATATCAAGTACCTTTAAGATTTTTCTTAATAGCTATCTCTTTTAATCATACATGAATTATTAGATTAACCTACACATCTATTTTATTTAGTCCAAATGGAATATATATCGATCAAAAAGCCTGCAGTTATCGTTATCGGCCATCCATCGTAAAAAGCAGACAGACTTCCTAAGTCGAGATAGTTCGTCCAAATTTGAAATGTAAAAGACGAAAATGCATGAACAAAAATGCAATGAAAATTAAAATAATAAGGTATAAAAGAGATCTGACACTGGCTTTTGCGATTGCATACTCGCGAGTAAAATCTGAGACTATCAACATCTGAGCCACTATTTCCTCTGTTTCTTTCACTCACGAGTGCATCTGCGTCACCGGAAGGGAAACCACAGATTCGAAGCATTGACCGATTTACCATCCGAGGAAACCGGAGAGCTGAGTGTGTCGAGTCTCCGTTTTTGCGTAATTCACTACGTGTGTGTGAGCGTGTCTCTATTGTCGTAAAAAAAATGGTAGACAATTAACACATTTACGAAATTTAATGTAGAGGCGTTAAACCTTACTTTTTGAATGAAAATACTACCTTTGTTTATAACGTAAATATTTATTTTTATAAGTGGCTTGTCATTATTAATTATTTCAAGCATTAGAATTATGTGAGTGTTGGGTGTTTTATAATATACGGATAATATATCTTGTAATTAAATAATATGTATAATTTTGAATTTACCTTTCCGATAAATATATAAATAGAATTAAAATTAAACTTACTGACACTGTTATAAGGGAAATTTTTAAAAAATTAATATATATTGTATATATATTTAATAAATACGATTAAGATTTAGATCTTATACTTTTATATTTAATTAAATGATACTAAAATGTTCAGAAACATTGGCTTTTCACATTAAAAATTTATTTACAAGTTTAATAGCCCTAAATCGTTTTAAAAATTTTATATTAAACATTAATATTTTTCAGTACTATTAAATATTATTTAGATATTAATGATATTCTCTTGAAAACATATCCTCATAGAAGTTACAATATTTACTAAACATTTGTAGTCCTTTTAAAAACGTAAAATGTTAAATGTTACATAAATTCTAAAGATTTAAAATTTAGGGACTTCAATACTTATATAAAAAAAGTTTTTTAATTATTTATTATATCATCGAGGTTTTTAAATATCCTTGAAATAACTAGAAACTTAATTACATTAATTACGGAGATAATAATTAACCTTAAAGAGAGGCTCCGCATGTATTTTGTGAATTTGTAGTTCCTCAATATAGTATGCCACACAATTATCATAAAATATCTGTAATTTTTCACAGATACACATTAAGTTTACGTCATGAATTACAAAATAACGTTTTATATAAAAACAAAGACACAGCAATGACCCAGAAGATTTAAAAAGTTTATCCAATACTGGTCATAGCAATTTTCTGTCATAAATTCAAATAGAATATGTAATAATGTATAGATTTCTTCTGTATATCTATGATTAATTCAAAATATATGGTATTAACGATTCTATCAGAAAAAATTATCGAAATATCTCTTGGTATTAAAAATTTGAATAATGTTCATTCAAATTTTTGTTTTAAGGTTTTATATATATTAATTTTCATATTTATATTTATATATTAATTCAGCTATGAAGTTAAATCCAAATTTATCATTTATATTAATTTTAAGGGTTTATCACATGCAATAATTTCAAGAATATATTATTATTTTATCTTTTCAATTAAATAAATAAAACAAAATATTATATTTTTGTTTAAATCAATAATAATATTAATTTAAAATGCATTGTTTGTATCACACGAAAATTATAAATGAGAGTCTGTTACTATAAATAAGTGTATTATATTTAGAGCTAATTAACTTTCTTCATAAGCAAAAATTTAAAATAATATATCGCTGGTAAATATATTTGCAGTTTCCAATAAAATTAATATCTATAATTTTATAAGATTTTATTAAATACTATCTAACATATATATATACAAAAATAATTTACCTTGCATTACAATTTTGAAACGATATTTTTAACTGACCAAATTTGTCAAAACGATATTAGCTATATCAGTATTGCAATTTAATCGACGTTTCATTTATTCATTATGATATTATAAATTGTAGAAAATAGTAGAAAATCGTTAATATTTTCATAAATACTAATTTAGATTCAGACAAAAATTTTAGATGCGTTTTCATTAAGAATAAAAGTTTAAATTTTATAGCTTTAATTATAAACATAGTAAAATGGTTGTTATTTCAGTTTAGTCAAAATTTGATGTGAGTTTTAATATTTATATATATATATATATATATATATTAATGAGAAATCGATTAATAAGAAAATTTTTCCATTTTTAAAAATAAAAACCAAATGTATAATTTGTTAAGCAAATAATATATTTACAAAGATAAAATGAGCAATTTTTATTTTTATAATATATAGAGTATGTAAAAAGCTATTATTATTCAGGTGTTAATTCATCGTTAAAAGTTATAAAAAAACAACTAAAGAAACATATATCTAGAATACAGTAAAATACAGTTCATTATAATGCATTAGCTCGTTCACAATCTGTTGATGCTAATATTTAAAAAATGTATCAATCAAAATTTTTATGCGTCGCTGCTCCCTTCCAAAAAAAAAATGCAAATTAGATTGAAATAAATATTAGAATTTATGATGCGTCTGTTATTGTGTTCTCTTTTTATCTATTTATATCTTTAATAGACGAATATTCTAAATAAAATTAGTGTCCAGTCTTAGATTAACAATTACCGATATATGAATTTCTGGACGTAAAATCACAAGTGACGGAAATCTATGTAATAATAGTTAACAGTTTTATGAAATATCTTTTACAGATAATTGTTGAATTGATTACGTATCAATTATTTGGGTAAAGAAAATATAGAATAATGATAATTGATTTAGAAACATAAAAGTCTATGAATTAAGACTTTAATAAAATATTATCATTTTCTTTTAATTCAAAATATATGCTTAATTATGTATTGGTATTATATAACGGTAAATTAAAAACAACGTTTTAATGTAATTAATATCGTGTGTGAATATCGGGACATTAAAATCCAATATAATTAAATAAAGTATCAAGTATATTTAAAAAACCATTAAATTATAATAAATTTTTATTATACAGCAATAATAATGAGAAATGAAATAAAATTTTATTAAATATATAAAATATATAATATATGAATATATAATAGTTAAGAATTATTTTTATGTTTTTGAAAAACATTTTAAACTGAATTTTTATATTTGAATATTATTATTTACCATACATTTACCATAGGACGATTTTTTTTTAAAAAATTACAGTTATTGCGATCGTTATTCGTTATAAGAACGTAATGGCTTTTTCAGAAAAATTTTTATTATTCAATGACAATTAAATTAATGATGATAGCACTAACATTTATATCACCGAATAAAATAATTGCTGCTTATCGATTGTATTAAGATATCACAAGTATCATCTTAAATTTTTTTCAAACAAAATATTTTAATAAATAAAATTTATGTACAAATTTAGATAATTAAGATATGTATAAATTCATTACAAATAATTAATGGATAATTAATACACTAAAATCTTTACCTTAAAAATGAAATAGTAAAAAGTAAAAAATAAACATTAAATAATTATTAATAAGATTAAGCGACAAATCTATAAATAATTTACAATTGGTAATTATACATTACTATCATTAAAATAAAAACTAATTTCCACTAAAAGTATTATTTTCAGATTTATTCTCTTCTACTTCATAAATTCTATAAAAATCATAAAAATTGTATGCAATATTTTCTGTAAATGAAAATAAATTTTTAAATCTTTTTTTTTTAGATCATTTCTAAATATTTTAGTTACTTTTATATATTCTTTGCTTCCTCAATAATGTAGAAAAATAAAAATACAGAGGAATAAGTAGTTACGAGTTTTGCAATCAGTTTTACGGATCATATAAATGCATAAAAAAAATAGCGAAAGTCTAAAGGATCATTTCTTTAACGACATGTAAAAAATATTTTTTTTTCAATTGCTTGAACTCTTGTATGGAGTAGCTCCAGGTACTTTTGCGCGCTTCCTGAAATATTTATCGATCCTTGCAATCGATAGTAGGTAGTATGCTACATTACGATGCATATGTAGGTCCCTTTCACTCTTCATAAAATAAAATTATTAAGGTCGTTATCATGCGAGAGATTTTCTTACTAATCTATTTAAACGTTATTAATACGTATTTATAAATTCTACCGTAATACATAATTATTTAAGTATTATAATTTATAATTTATCTTTTTTTTCTTCTTTTAATGCATTCTAATTTATTTTATATAATTTATTTTATAAAGTTTGGCGTTGATGTTGACAAAAAATGTTATAGCCATAACCGACTGATTATATAGATAAATATATTAATAAATGGCTGATGATTATAATATATATATATATATTTGCTGAATTCCATTTATTCTAATAGATTGAACGGCAGCTATAAAAAATCATGTAATAATAAAAATGTTTTTAAGTAAAATTCATACAATCATGATAAGTCTCTGCATTGTCGATAATTTTCGTTGACCAAATATTCTGAGATTATATTGCTGGTTATCCTAAATATACGTAAAGTAATTTATTTCTGTATCGTTTCGTAATCATATGATTTACAGACTCGACGACGGTGCTGAAATCGATGATATGCCTTACGCGAAGCCAAAGCGAGAGGTCGACGACGCGCCCGGGATTATCGGCGGCCGATGTGAATTTCGTAGACACGATGCGGCTGAGTCTTTGCCGACGCACTAAGGATGAGAACGCGGTATCTAGTGAAGCCGAGGAGACCAGGAGGAAGATGAACTTGGAGGTAGTGAAGAGGAAGGAGACACTTCAGGTATCTTTTATACTTTTTTGTTTATTTTTAGTAGCGGAAAGTCATATGAATAAGTCACATGAATCGGATAAGCTAGAGATGCATTAGAGTTACTAGAAATAGCTCTCCGAAGCTTACTCTTTTTATAAATTTATTTCACTTTTAATTGTTTCTAAAAATTAGTTTAAAAAGGCACGAACGAGTTTTGTACTAATATATGTACATACAGTAATATTCTTATATATGTAGTATCAAAGGTGTTAATTTATTAATTGTTCACAAGAGGATTTTAATTATTACATTAATTTTGGGTTCGCACGTTGGGTATTATTTTAATTCAACGTTCAAGTTCGATATTAAAAGAAAAAAATGATGAGTTAAAAAAAATGCTGCGTAATTTTTATTCAAAGCTTAAATCAAAGATTATCGAGTCGAGGATGATTAACACGTGCATACAGGAGGAAAATGAGAATCGTGAAACAAAGGAGGTAATAAAAGGCGTGAATGAAGGAAAACTCGAAGAAATGAGCTCGATGATTACGACAAACAGTGATGAACATTTCGGGAGCATGCGACCGACCAGTTGGTCCCCACCGCCTGTTAAAGCTGGCATCTTTCAAAGGAAAAATCAACACAACTTAAATGTGTGTAAAATCAACGTGGCGCCAAGTGTTATACCGACATCTTTTATGGTTCACAGGCTTCAGGTTAGCTAATTTTTAATATTTATATCTATAAAAATGTTATGCATATAACATTTGCTTACTGTCATGACATTGTATATAGAGTGTATTTCAGTAAAACAAATTTCATTTGTTTTTAGAAATTTTGTTGAGAGGTTAAAACTTATCCTTATTTACTAAAGCATTCAAATCTTAATATTAATGATTATATCAAAGTGTTTTTAATTTTAATAAACCAATTAAAATTTTTATTATATTACACGTGGATAAAAATAAAACATATATGGTATTAAATTAATAATAATTCTTTTAAATAAATAATAATTGTTTATTTAATTTTGTTTTGCAAAGATTGGTTCAAGCACGCCTTTAAAAGGACCCCGCGGCACATCAATTATGATAAATAACCAACAACAGACGCATTGCACAGATACCACTTCGGACTCGGACAACAGAGTTACGATTAGCGTTGGCGGCGAAGATAGTATTTGCAATCCCACCGTTATATCAGTCAATAACAACGCACTTGAAATACCATCGAATATTCAGACATTTAATGATCAAAAGCGAACTCTTGTAATTCTTGATAACTATCGATCCAACATTGTCATTAGTGGAGAACGACAGGAGCAACAGCAGCTTCAGGTAAATGCATATTCCTTCGTTAATATGGAATCTTTAGGCAGCACGTTAGATATTATATTATGAGTATTATTTCACTAGTATTTTAATTCATATCGATTGAACAATGGATTACAATCAATAATTTATATTAAATCACTTGATTATAAAATTACCAAAATTCACTTACACACACATTATCACAAGATTATAAAATATATCGTTTTAAATGAAAAATCGTAGGATATTAACGCAAATGAGATGAAAGTATCAACGATTCAGAGCAACCCCATCGAGATCAAATCCCCAACAAAATTCAAAGAAAGCGACGAATCTTTTGATGGTTCACCTAAATGGAAGCAAGTAATTGATGCCCCAGTACCTTTGACAAATTCAAAAGAAGAAATAATCTCCAAATTGCTGGAAGATTCTTTGCGTAAGGCTCGAGAAAATGGCGAAATCTTGGATCAGAGCAGCGGCGAAGCTATTCTTAAAATTCTTAAACAAAGCCTACTTAAAAGTTCACAATCAACTACTGAAGCTGATCCCGAATACTTTAGACCATGTTGTAATTTGAATTCGAGTGCGCTTAACAGCGAGATTATAACAACCAACATGTTTCTAGAGGAGAATGCATACGAGATGATAAAAGAACCGATTTATGAAGAAATACCGGATGAGCCACCGCCATTACCTCTCAGTCCACCTCCAACAGAAGATTTCCTAAAAAGTCGAATCTTCTTCGGAGATGAATACAAGGAAAGTTTTAGAGGTAAGTTTATAGTGATAATTAAAAAAATTATTGCAAATGTATGTCAAAGTTTAAAAAGAAACGCGCGGTGAAAATTTATCGGGCATCTGCTGATCAATAATCAAATAAATCAAATTCATCAAATGCATTCTGTAGAATAGTAACATGTATAAATTGAATATACTCGATACGAAAATACGCAGAATAATGTACACGTAATATATAAATATATATATATATATATATATATATATATATAAGATTTAGTGAATTAATTATTAAAAAATATAACCCCATTATTATTTACAGACTTAAGCAATGGAATTGCGCAATCGCTAGATGACTTTTATAAACCTTTGAATAATGATTCTGGTCAATATCTCGAATGTTCATATTTATCAAAAAGCCAAAACGAGTCTTTTAAGAAGTCGTCTAGTTCCTCTATGGGTGAAAAAAAGAGCCTGTCCAGTAAATTTGAACTTTTAAATTTCATTATGGACTCGAAGGAACGAACTCGGGTTGGAAATGTTGCTCTAGATCAAGATGAAGAAGTAGACGAGGATGATGAAGAAGAGGAGGAGGAGGAGGAGGAGGAGGAGGAGGAGGAGGAGGAAGAGGAGGAGGAAGAGGAAGATCCTGAGCGAGATTTGGAAGCTTTGTACGAGCAAAAAGAAACAAGTTTGGGAGATTTGAGTTCCAAAAGTTCGCAAATTTCAAACGTATCAGACAGCAGTGAAGAGTGCAACATCATTCTTGCCAATTCACCGGAAGCACTGAAGGTAAGGCTTTCTTATTAATCCGATTCTTTAATTATAATATATTATTGATGTAAAAATACCATTTTATAAAATATTTGCTAATAAATAATTTTTGTAGATCTTAAATTATGATCGTGTTATTAATTATAATTGAATCAAATTCTTTGCAATCAGTTAATTGCTTTTTAATGATCTATCGATAATTTTGTCACAGTTTTGATTAGTTTCTTGGATCCGATAAATTTATGTCACTAAATTGCAATATCTCATTATGATGAAACGTTAAAGTAATTTTCAGTTAGCTGATAGTTAATAATAAATAAAATATAAAGATCTTATAAACGTTACGCTATTACATTTATATTTTCAGTATTCTCTTGTCTACTTCTTAAAGTCCAACAAAAAATTTAAAGCACTTTATATTTATTTGAAACTGCTTTAGTTTCTCGTATAACGGTATCGTAAGTGTCTTAAGAAAAAGGTGGTAACTGCTATCTTGCACAACATATTAAAAATGGCTTCGACTCCAGTGAAAGTTATATGATTACAAAGTCCTTTTCTAAAATTTCTATATACAAATCCATTAATAATAAAAATTATTTATACACAACTTTAGAATAAAGTTGAGTCCGAGAGTTAAAATACTATTCGTTTGAGCGCGAATAAATTGTATTACCCATAAATGCATAAGTGTCGATAAAAATTTGCAGCAAAAAGTGCATTTGCTGCATACTAAATAGCGTAAACTAGATTTTAATGCTTGTAAACAAAAAAACATAATTGTCGTAAATATGCGGAATATTATCTTACACCGTAGCATGCAATATTTTACTGCAGATACGACCTTATTTGTACTTGTGAAAATATGCAGCCCGTCACTTTCAAAATCGTATTTCAGTATGTGTTCATTAACCGCGAACATTTGTATATTAAACGGAGTTAGTTGGAGCGGGGTAGGCAAATTTATTTTCAACCCGTGCTTGCACATCATAAAAAAATCCGTTGAATCAAAACTAAAAAAAAAAAAAAACCAATCGATAAAAAAAAAAGTAGCGCATGAGAGAAGCTCCGAAATAATTTAACATCTTTACTAATTTTCACTAATTACTTAACGTGATTCTGCAAATCTAGACGCGGACGGTGGATATTGAGAGAACTGACAGCGGTGTCGGTTCGGAAAGCAGTCAAGCGAGCAGTGGTCGTGGGGGTGGTATCGTGAGGCGATGGCGAACCGGAAGTGCCGGTGGTCTAGGCCTTAATGTCTGCAGCAGCGGGACAAACAATGTCATAAAACCAGTGACGTCGACCACGGCGACGGCGGCGGCAGCGGCGGCAGCGGCGGCGGCGTCGTCGTCGTCGTCGTCGTCAGTGGCAACGTCAGCAACAGTAGTGACGACCAACTCGAGCAATAATGCATCGCACAAAGCAGACGTCAAGCATTGCGAAGACTGCGAACAGTGGATCGAACCCCTCATCATTGACAGGTGATTAATTGTTTTTTGCTGGCTATTGTTCGGCCAAGGTGACTTTTATCTTTATGACCTTTTGCGACTTTGGTTGCTGGTTGGGCTTCAGAATGATTATGAAAGACGGTAGCGTCGCCTAGAGTGGGGCTTTTAACAATGGGCGTTACTAATGTATAGCTGTCGTAAAATTAAAGCTTTCGCACCTGCCACATCGTCAGCGAGATCGTTGTATTTTCTATGATTTTTTAAGATCGTTGTTATCTGTACACTCGCTAGACCAGCTAATTTCATACCTTTGTTCGTGCTCTTGTGACAATGAACTTTCCAATCAACTTAATTGCTATACATAATGGTGAGAAAAAAGCGATCGAACGATCATTACTCAAAATTAACTTAAATTTTGCTAAAAATTTCATTGATTCCGGTAGTGATAGTTCCCGTCAATGATAAAATAATTCTCGATAGATAATTAAGTGCCTATGTAATAAATTCTGGCATAAAAAAAAGAATGAAAATTTCGTATAATTTGAGTTAGTAAATAGCAGTCATAATATTAAGCTTCTATCTTAAATATCAAACGAATATAACAACGAACATCAGCGAAATAAACAATTAAAATTTTTTTTATCTTATAGTCTTTCTTATCTGATTTTGACGCGTAAATTTCATTAGCCAACCGTTATTTAAAAAACTTATCAAACGCAAAAGAAATAATCGGTTAGTTTATTATGGCTTTCGTTCTTATTTTCATTTTGATTTTTATATAATTTTAACGGTAATATGACAAAATGACCATCATGTGTATAATCGTTTTATTTTCCATAACTGCTTCGAACGTATTTTCCTTTTTTATTTTTGGTTTGTGGACACCATGCAGGTATTTATGTGAGAGAGATTGCTTATGGTTGTTATTTAAACTAAACTCTGACTCTAAAATCAATGAGTACGTACACGCTAAGTAACGACAAATTAGGAGCAGTTTGTATCTTACACGGCGTCTTATTCTTTTTTTCCGTTTTGCTTCAATGTACACAGGCAAGATGTCGATATGAATTTCAAAAAACAATGTCATTTCAAATATAACATTATAAACTATGTGATAAAAATATTAATCGCTACAAATTGATTTCTCAATCTTTCATTAATTAAAAATTAAACATTTACATATTAAATACAGATTATATTGATTTATTATATGTTAATATTCTTTACATATTGAGAATAGCCCGGAGGGGAATCTCAATTTTGCACTAAATGCATTTTAAAAATGTAATGGGATAAGAATGAAGAATTTATTAATCAACGTGTACAAAGTTTGAAAATTCTACCAATAAAAATCTTATGGCTTTAAATGCCAATGAAGGAACGAGCAATGAAATAGCTTTGAGAAACATTTTATATGAATAAGTGTGCTGCCGGAGCCTTAAGTATATTTCCGGCCTATCACTAAATGTCTTTATCGAGCTCAATTCTGATCTTTATTAATATATGTTACCAAATTACACTGGCAACTGAAGGTGTCAAAATAGGGCTCCACGAAGTAGCTTCTTTATCGATCTCTCGATACACGACTGCGAAGGTGCAGAGCTTTTCTTCGGTTAGGTTTAGAATAATTAATAATTAACACGCTTCGGGGTCTCGTTATACCTGCTGTACAGGTTTTTGGTCATTATGTAATGAGCTTATGCCGAGCCCGTCACCTATCTACACTAAATTTTACAAAGCTGATGAAAAAAAAAAATGAGCCAAGGACGTCATGAGTTTTCCACTTTACTGCTCATACTTTTTGTCTATTTTGTCGCTATTGTTCCATTATTTTTTCGACTACCAGTGCAAGGAGTAAGTGGTTATTCGTGTATTTAAAACAAATAAAAGATAATGGTCAATTAATCATTTTGATATTCAAAAACAAATTCAATATTCATTCGCAATTTAATATAATATGAAATCGATCATATATACTTATTTTCGCTTTATATTTTCTTTTTTATTACTTTTTTTATTAAAAATATTGCCGCTATCTTTAAATTAATTTTAGAAAAAAGTATAATAAACTTTTTTATATCTAAGAACCAAATAATAATAATGTTTACCTGTATTTTAAAGTTTCAATAAAAACAAGTTAGTCATTAAAACATTTAGAAGCGCAAGATTTATTAGATAACCGGAAATCTTTTAATATTGATAATTTATATTTTAAATACAAAAAATTAATCAATTATTGATAAGCGATTCGCAAAGTTATTGAATAATATTTTTTTAGAGTTACTTTTAGATTTTTAATTTATTCCTCATATACATAGTATTAGTAATGGCAATAATTAATTAAATTGACAGATATGTCTTTTTATAATTTTATCGACTGTCTTTGATTAATACACTATTGCACGCTAAATAGCTACTGTTTGTTAATTTTAATTAAAAAATTATCCATTACATTTACCATCATTTCCAGATGCGATTGCCTCAACTGTTTTTAAAATGAGTTTTATGACTTATAGAATGGAGTATCCTAGTACAATTATTCTAATATTATATTAAGGAAACAAAATGCAGTACGTATGCACGTACGTGACAAGTGTTCAGACGTTCCTCTGGAAACTTTCACTTCGTATCAATTCGCCGCAATATGGTTTTACGATATTTAAATATACTTGTACTCTGAGCGAAAGCTACGTTATCTCACATCGATTTTGATTCACTTACCTTATGCCTCGTTATTGCTTTTTTATTTCTTATTATCCGGAAGACTTATAGTGATGCTCGTTTGAAAATCTGCTTTTTTATATTTTCAAAATACATAGGTAGAGATTCAAAGTCCTAATCGTAATGTCATCGTAACGGGTAAACTAATGATATAAGTTTCACAACTTTACATTCAATTGCAGATCCTGAAATTTGTATCGAAATTATTAACTCGTGAGTATATGGTTTAACTTACTGTATAATTTCATAAAGTGCATAAGAACGTAATAATAATTTTTCAGATCGTCTATTTAATTTTAAGTATAACAAAATTTCATCTGAAAATTAGATGTATTTTCTAAAATAAATATAAAATTAGAAAATGTTGAAAAACTTGATAACTTTTTAAATATAAATTATAATGCTCTTTTTATCTAATATTTATTCGCACATGTATTTTACGAAATTTTCCTATTATTATCCCAAGCGGGTGCATTTACTCGCCATTAGTGTGTCGGAAATGTGGAAAAAAGCGTGCTGAGAGAAAAGAAATAATCACAGAGATCGTAGAGACGGAGCAAAAGTATGGCCGGGATCTTCAGATTATCTTGGAGGAGTTTCACCGACCTATGCTCAGGGCTGGTTTACTAACCCAAGAACAGCTTTCCGCAATATTTCTTAATGTTGAGGAGCTCCTCGAGCACAATCAAATCCTTGCGGAAAAGCTCAAGGATGCCTTTGACATCGCGCAGGTATTAAGATTTTATATTTTACAGAGAACTTAATACGTTAAAAATAAAAAATTAAAAAAAAAGACAATGATGTTTACGACAATTTCATTTCATAATTAATTATGTAAGAAATATGTACTATAAGTATATTGTAGGGACGTATTTGACGTTAATTTTCTTTAATACATTTAACTAAAGTAGATTAAAATGAAATTTTGATACAGGAATCTGGTGATGAGGATCTGGTAACGGTTGATTTAGGAAAAATTTTTCTCGAATCCGAGAGAATGCTACACGCTTTCGAAAGTTACTGCACTCGACAAGGAGGTGCCAGTCTTTTGTTACAAAATTTAGAAAAGGAAAAAGAACTCCTAAGAATATTCTTGAAGGTTTCGCAGATGGAAAACACTGTATTACGTAGAATGAATCTCAATTCCTTCTTAATGGTATAAATATTCATTATCTCATTAATCTTCTTTTTTTTACCAATATATTATATTTAAAAATACAATTTAAGTGACAAAAATTAATTTCATTAGTATAAAAGTAATTAAAAACATTCGAAAATAATCAAAATTATTATATTATGCCATAGAATCATAAAATATTTATTTAATATTGTATTTGAAATAGGTTCCAGTACAAAGAGTGACCAAATATCCGCTTCTTTTGGCACGTCTATTGAAAGCAACCCCCTCGGGAAGATTAGAAATGCAAGAATTGAAAAAAAGGCTCAAACAAGCTCAGACTAATATAGAACTACATTTAGAGCATATGAATGCTGTAAGCAATATATCCTATTTTTCTTAATTATTTAAACTCAGTTGTTTATCTACACATTGTATTTTTAACAAATTATGTAAAAAAAATTTTTTTAATCATAAATACATATACAGTTTAACGAAAGCTTCTTAAATTGCGTATGCATGAGTGAAAATGCTGATTTAACGAATGCAAATGCATTCACTTTCAAAATCTCTACATTCAGTTAGAATCAAGCCAAAATTTGAAAATCTTTACTATTTCTAAATACTTAAAATTTTTATTTCAAAAAATAAATATGTAGCAATACTAGTTCGACAATTTTCGATAATTTTCTTTAACATAGGAGGCCAAAGATATTACGTCGACAAAACTCTGGCGACGAATTTCAATAATACAAAATGGTAGAAGACCAACTGGTGAACAAGATATGGTTAATATTAAGCTGAGAAAAGTACGTATTAAATGTATTTAGCACGATTTATAATCCCTCTCAGAATATTTTATATTAATTATATAGTTTATTAGGCTTTTACATTGACATTTTATATTGATAAATATTTTATATTAAATTTCATACACTTATTTTTAATTCCAATGCTAAACAATAGTAGTAAGATTAATAAGACATAAACATATATGAGCCACTAGTTAATAAAATAATTATTAATATATTATTAAAATTATAAAATAATTTAACTTTTATGTTCATTGTACAACATCGGTATTTTCATATTTTAATGACAATAAACTAACATTAAAATGCAAATACCTAAATATTTTTAAAATATATCTATTAAAAACGTTCTGCTAAAAAGCAAATTCTTTTACAACGTTTCTAGTTTTCAAACCCAATTAATGCAAATAATATTTAGATGGCTTTAGAGGTACTAGAGTGGGCTCACGAAGATTCGAGATTCGTGTTAGAGGGTCGATTGTTAGTAGCTCAACCAACTGATAATAATTGGAGGAGAGGTCGAACTGTCAAACTCGCGCCTGTAACTGCCATGCTCGTCACTAATGGGAAGGTATTAATCATACATTTTCAACGCCTAAATATTTTATCTAATTCTAATTTATTTAATAAAATCTAATTTACTAGCCAAATACCGAATTTCTTGATTATTCTGATGACTGTCTTTTTCCAAAACAAATTGGGATTAAAGATGCGACTCTTCTGCTTGTTAAAGAAAAACTGGGACGGTACTCATTATTACGAGTAAGTATTTAATCATTAAAGGATTTAATGAATTCTTAGACGAAAACTAAATTATTATACTATTAAATTTTGCACGATACTAATATATAATTGATAAATGTCTGTAATTATGTGTGTATGTTTCTCTAAAATTAAACTAATTATACATCCATCGTTCATAAAATATCAAACCTGTGCAATGTACTCATGTATTATGTTATAGATTTACTATAATTTTTTTAATAAATATTTCAAATCATATCATATACACGATAATTAGGATTTTCAGTTCTATTAGGATTCAATTTAGGATTATCAGATCTAACATCTTAAATGATAAAATTTTTAAAATATTTTTTAGGAACCCCTTTACCTTGACAAGTGTATAGTATGCTGTGAGACGGATTTTGAAGACTACTTTGAGGTTCAAGAATTGTATTCCAGGGAGACTTTTATCTTTAAGGTGCACACATCAAATACTTCTATAGCATTAAATTATTACGAATTTTAACTCAGTAATAAAAGTTTATTTGAAATTACGTTTAAATGAAACGTCTTTGCCCTTACGATTTAAATAAATCATTAAATATTACATTTGTATTTACAATTGATCATAGCAATCAATATTAATATAAAAAAAAAAAAAAAAACGAAAAGACTTTTTTACGTTGTTATTGAATTTCATTTGGGTATGTTATAGGCTGAGGATGGCGTCAGAACAAAACGGTGGTGTCGAACATTACAGACTCATGCGCAGTCCCTTGGGGCCTGGCGGCGACGTCGCGGTGCCCTCCCAAACATCATGATTTGTGGTGTAGCAAGAAATTGAACATCAAAAACATTTTTAAAAGAGTTGAAGTGTGAAAATGAATGAAAGGAGAGAAAGAGTGAGAGTGAGAGAGAGAGAGAGAGAGAGAGGCAGAGAGAGACAGAGAAAAGAAACAACAGAGAAGTATTATCAAGAATAAAACATATTATAGTGCGTCGCAGAAACGGAAGTTTCCTACGTAACTGTATCGCTGAAATAGGGATAATATGAGGTATCTACGAACAGTTTAACGTCAAAATTAATAATGTTTAATTCGTTGAGTAATACTATAAAAAAAAACTCAAAGAGAATATATTTCGTTGTCTCATTTATTTAATTATTCAAACGAATTATTATTATTATTATTATTATTATTATTGCTGTTATTATTATAAAGACTACTACTACTACTATTACTACTACTTCTACTACTACTACTACTACTACTACTACTGATACTGATACTATTATTATTATTAATAAATCTACACGAAATGTCTTATGCATTATATTATGCATAATATTTTATATGATAACCATCTCATTTTTTGTTCTTTATTATTAAGTAATAATTTTATTCAATTCGAGTATATAAATATTTAATATATTATGAATTATTGTACTTTTCTCGAAACACGATCAGTAGCTGTGATATCGACCCGGTGTATTGGGATACATAATAATTTTCTAATTTTTAACTTTATCTCGCTGCAATCATCATATGCATTCCACTTATATTATTTGATATTAATTATGAATGTTAAGACTTAAATAAATGTAGGATATTCAACAACGATAGATTGTATATTGTATCATACTTGAAACAATTGTATATATTTTTAATGTATAAAAATCGCTATCAATACATTATTTTTTAGAAATCGAAATGTCACTCTATTGACTGTAATAATAAAATAATTTTAATTCCTTATTAAAAAAAAAAAGAAAAAAAAAGAAATTTCTGTTAAAAAAATCAATTTTTAAGTATTTATTACAAGCAAATAAAAATGCAAGCTTCTTGGTATTGATATATATATATATATATATATATATATATATATAATTCCAAATAAATACTTCAATTATAGTACGTGTGACTATAGAATATTATAATATTTAAAAGTATGTACATATTTAATAAAATTTGTCCAATATTAGTTTTATATGCCAATAAATATTTGATATTTTAATGAAATTTTTTAATTATTCAATTTTTTTTACGAATGGTGTCAATTTAATAAATTTTTATATAATAAATCAAATTCGTACTAAGGCAATAAAGACTTTTGATAAAAATTACATTAAGAAATTCAATCTTTCTAGTACGAAATAATTATTAATGTAATATCTGATATAAATATTAGATATTTAACAAATAAAATAATATATTATTTATAATAATACACATATTAATTTGTTATTATTATTAATGCTTAAATTTTAGTAAATTAGATATAGAATATAAATATTGAATTATATTTGGAAAGTTAGTATTAATTTTAATACTAATAGGCATCAATTTGACACATTTCTAATTTAATATTTAATAAATTATATATCGTGTATAAATTATGTATAATATTTAAATATAAATTTGATAAATCTTGTTTTACAATTGCAGAAATACTGTTATGTCGTTAAAATTAACGTCTTATAAAATGGGATTAAATATTTAGAGGTCTGTGCGCTTTGAATTCGCCTTCGGTTTATGTGAAAATTCAATAAAGTCGCTCAAAGTTAAAGAAAATTAAAGATCCAACAATAAAAAATGTAGTTAATTATAAGTTAACCAATATACAACCAACATATGTACGTATGTACAGCAGGTTTCCTATCCATTTTCTCAACAAGCTCATTTTGTATATATAACGATGCATAAATTGACGCTGAATTATGCGTATACGTTAAATGCTTCACCCATAACAATTTACGCATTTGTTTTCAAATTAATGAAATTATGTTGATTAGAATCATTAAAAAATTGTGAGTTACTGCGTGACATTATTTACTTCTACAATCCTTATTTGTCACGATACTTATCTCATACGAGTAAATTGAAAGGCTATTCAACAAAATTGCATAGACAATTTCTGCATTATTATTATTTTTCTAAATTGTATTTAATTTATTCGTAAAAAGTCTTTTTGTTTTTCTTATTAACATAAATTAAATTATTTTTCTCGAAAACAAGTTGTTGTATTATTAAAATCTTTTTATTTTTCAACTGAAATATGTGTGTGTACGTGTACGTGTATGCGCGCGCGTGTGTGTCATTACATCTATGATAATTATAAATTATAATGATTACATAAAAATATTAATATGACAGTATTATTCGAAGAATTAATTCATCTTTTAATACAATCAAAGGATTATAAACGAACAAAAATATGTATCATCGATTTTACAAAATGTAATACTCGAATAATGTATCACTAAAAATGATAGTTGTTTTATTAATAAAGTAATATTGATAGATTTTATTTATAAATTATAGAAAATATCTCCAAATATATTATTCCAATATAATAATATCCAAATATAATAATAATATATATATTCTGTCATAATCCGAACACCATTCTATATTATTATAATATTATTATTTTATAAATTAATATATTTGAAACAAAAATGTTTATAATTTTAATTTTTAACGTACTTTATCGAATGAGCTTGCACTTGTCGTTTGGTAAACAATTCTGTTCTTCGATTCAAGTTTTTAGAATAATCTCAATTAATGTAAAATAGCTATTTTATTTTCATTACTAGAATAACCTATTAAATACGTAATTATTCACAAGATTTACTGCTAGAATTAATTGATTAATGAAAAGTTACTTTTATTTATTATTAGAATTGTATTATTTGTTATATTCATCCATCATCGTTTACCACCCACTAGTATAACAGTAAAATTACGAATGTTTCAATTTTTATCACCAACGACTAATAGAAAAAGTTATCATCCCCCTTATGTGTTTTCGACAACCAATGAGCATTGATTATAGTTTGTCTGGAATATTATGTCCGGAATAATAATCATAACTAAATTAGCTGATGGGTATATTACCCACTGTATTTATATTTATTAAATTCTTTGAATTAAAATACTTGGAAATATTGAAATTAAAAATTTTAAATATATTTTTAATGACGTATATGTGAGAGGCAATTGTTTCCGTAAGCGGGCTGTGAGCGGGCATGTATATATATATATATATATATATATATATATATATATATATATATATATATCTTGATAATATATAAGAATCTTAACATTTCACATAATTATGATGTAGAGCCCATTGGACAATTATCTTAATAGTTTAAGACGATATAACCTCTGTCACTCTTGTTATTTATGAGAATAATATCAATATATAACAATCTCATGGGTCTATTATTTAAATACTTCGTTTGTAATTTCATAAAATTAATTGCATTTAAATATTATAATATTTTTCTATATTATACGCTAATGCTTTTATTTCACATCAAATCCTCTATCTAACTATAAAATTACGAAAAGTATTAAGATAAAAATAATCGGCATTTCTCTGTTAGTTCGAAAGTTATATTTTATTTAATGTTCACCCATACTTTCTAATTTTATTGAATGCCAACTTTTATTATAAAAGATTTATTAAAATTTAATTTCATTGAATTTTTCGGCATGTACTTGGCCATATAATAAATAATATACGTAATATTATTTCAAAGCTTAAGTTCATCTCCAAAATTAACTTAAAATAACTTGTAAGTTAGCGTTTGGACTGCTAGAGGCGCTAGCAGCTCGAGTTTCCGAGTTTCTACTAACTTTATGTCTTCACTGTCCACATGCTGCTTACAACTCTTAAGTAGCTTGTAGTTAGTGACTGCTTGGAGTCTTCATTGCTATGATTTTTTTTAATTTGATTGCCGCATGGTTTACTTTGTTTAATAATTAAAGCTGCTTACGAGATATACCACGAATACAGATAGCTTTTGAAAAATGGCTCTTAACCTCATTGTTAAAGTACACCCAGTTGTGTTATTTCAAATTGTTGATGCATATGAACGCCGAGGTGCCGAAGCTCATCGAGTTATCGGTACAATGTTAGGTACGTGCTGAATTACAAAAATTAAAATATAATAAGCTATTTTCGGTGAACAATGTTGAGGCAATGGTATTGTTTGTTGAGTATGCCTTGTGAGCATAATCATTGAGAGAAAAATTTTTGCAGGAACCGTGGAGAAAGGTGTTGTTGAAGTAACAAATTGCTTTTGCGTACCACATAAGGAATATGAAGACCAGGTTGATGCCGAACTCAACTATGCAATGGATTTGTACGAACTGAATCGACGAGTTAATGCGCAGGAAAATATTGTTGGATGGTGGGCTACTGGAAACGAGGTAAGGGATCATTGATTTCGATATTATTATCATTATAATAAGAAAGAAAATTAACACATGTGGTTCTCAATAGGTAACCAATCATTCATTTGTAATTCACGAGTATTACGCTCGTGAATGCAATAATCCTATTCATTTAACAGTGGATACAACTTTACAAGAAACCACAAGAATGGGTATTAGAGCTTATGTATGCGTACGATTGGGCGTTCCAAATGGCAAAACTGGCTGCATGTTTACACCTGCCAAAGTGCAGGTAACGATATTTAACCAATTTATTCTTTAAAATTTATAATAATTTTTTTTTTTAAATATTTTGATTTACAAGTAAATTATTTTTAATTTTCAAATTAATCGACAAATATTCTATGAATTTACTAAATATTCTAATGTATGTAAAAGGAGAAAGGTTTCTTTAATTTAATGTATTAAATTTAGTAAACGTTGAATGAGAATTCTCTTTGGTTTGGTTTTAATGTAATTACAATATTATTATTGTAGATTCAGTGCTACAATCCAGAAATTGTTGGATTACAATTGTGTGCCAAAACTATTCATCATGTCAAAGGAACCAAACCAGATGCTGTTGTAGAACCAATGATGGATCTTGCACAAATTGCTGAAGCTAGTTCAAAACTTGCTACAATGCTGGAAAGTGTTCTTCAGTATGTGGATGATGTTTTATCTGGAAAGACACCTCCTGATAATCAGGTATTTCTTATAATACTCATAATAGTTGTGATAAAAGGACATGTAAAAGATAGATTATACTCGATATTTTTTTAGGTGGGAAGAGCTCTTTTGGATATGGTGAATTCTGTGCCGAAGATGACAAGCGATCAGTTCGATAGTATGTTCAGCAGTAATGTGAAAGATCTTCTTATGGTTGTTGCATTGTCACAGCTCATTAAGACGCAATTACAACTCAATGAAAAACTCACGTTGCTTACAACATTTTGAATACAAATATATTTCAACGATTAATGAATGATTTGAAAGTACAAGGATAAAGAATACATATTAAAAATTGTTTATAAAATTAGTATTTATTATTTTAATTAAAAAATTTTAAAATAGATAATAAAATTAAAAAAAAAAAACAAGTAATAACAAGGTTGACTATACATGTACAAAAATTATGTATATTTCAATTTTATATGATATGAGCCACTATTAGCAAATAAAGTTTTCAATAGAATTTTTTAAAATAAATATATATTCATTGCTAAATAGTATTTGAGGCTTCATCTTTTCTATTATCTATAAGATTGACCCAGTCAGGCACACGATTTAATTCAAGATAATTCTCTTTTGTAATACATCTAGAAGGTAAATCTACGCTTCCAAAAATTGCACCTCCTAACCATGCGGTATAGTTTGGTTTACTTGGTGCCGTATGAAATTTAAATGTTTTAATTTTAAGTTTTTCCTTGTAGAGTTCGCTATTAAGCAAGTACAAAAGTTCAGTTTTCAATCTGCTTGCAAATCCTTTAGCCATTACTGTACCACCAATGAGTAAAATATTTTCTGCTAATTGGGTTCTTGTATCAACAGGGCACTAAACATAAATACAATTTTAATAAAGGATAAAATAAATTTTCTGATGAATTTTATCATAAACAATTCACATTCAAATTCTAATCTAAAATAATAACAAATATATAGTCGGAGGGTATTTATTATTACCTTAATTATAGAATCTAATATCATGGTTGGTACGCTTAAATTATCGTTATCCCTTTGCCACAGCACCTCGAAGGCTTTTTCTCTTACACTACCAGGAATTTCAAATGTTCTTGTGGTGTAATATTTTACATCCGGAGGTGGCTTAAAAGGATTATCCGTTTCTAATTTTAGGGATCGCTCCATAGTTGTTACAAAACAAGTACGAACTTTAATGTTCTCAATCAACTTTTCAGTTGATTCTGTTTCTGATAAAATAGTTTTCATTTCTCTTGTAATACTTCTGCGAATATGTGAGTAATTTATAATAAATTATCGATATCAAGATTTGAGTCCATAACAATAAATTGTTATAAAACTTACTCATGCACCGCTTTACTAGCCAATGGGAGAGCTTGCCATGCTTTAAGAATCGGTACACCTTCGAATACAGGTATAAGTGTTGCTTCTTGATAACCAACATCTAATACTAATAATGTATCCACTCCTAATGTACTTATAGTAACCAAATGTATCGGTAATACCATCAGCGATCCAACTTCGAAATGTCGAAACAATACTTTTGCTAAAGTATTTCTAAATTTTGATGGAATCAATGGAGATTCTAAAATAACTATTTTAATATCTTTTGGACTTATTACTACACACCTATTAAATAAATAAATATCAATAAATAATAGTTATAGTATAAAGAGTAAAATCTTCTAAAGGAAGTAGAATAAAAACTTATAAAAATAAATACTTGAAAAATATCATATGTAAAAATTCAACAAGAAGCTGATAAAGGTCATCTTCATCTTTGTAACTGTAGATTTTTCTAAGTTCTCTACTTTCTGGGCACTTAATTTCTGTATTTATGATACCACGAGGAGCAGTTTCCCCTGCATAGCCATATCTAATAAAAATAAACAATACAAAGTTATAACTTATGATTACAGAAATTTCTTAAAGAATTTTTTATTTAACTATTACTTAGTGTAGGCACTCCCAATATCTAAAACAATCACTTGTTTATCCGAAATATAGCGCGTTCCTTCGTAACTACGTAACATGTTGAATTCGATTTCATTTATCGACTTTTATATTATCTTCTAGCCGGTATTATAACATATCTGAATCCAATACTATGCCACTAACAATAAAAATGATTTAAAACCGATAACAAACCTAAATACAAGTTTTTATGGCTTAAGTGATAAAATGATTGTTAACAAAAATAAAGAGGATTCCAAGGAACTCCCATTGGTGTAAATGGCGACAGTAGTTGTGTTGAATTACTGTACCATGTGATGTATTTGATTTAAAAATACTTATTATAATTTATAGATAATTTATTCATAAAAAAATATTGACATTTAATAATTATAATATATTTTATTAATCTGTGATGGCTAATAATTTATAGCTAATATATAATTCTGTATTTTAACAAGAAAAGTTGGAAAAGTAGGTTATATTTTGGCTTATATTAAAGTTGCAATTTAAATTTAATTTTACATAATGACTTTTTCACAACTGAGAACATTATTCTATATAAATAAAATTTTACAAAAGAATTTTGGGTTCTATAATATAATTAAATATGAATTTTTGTGTACAAAAAGTACATTACCAATGCAACAAATAAACCACAATATTGAAAGTATGGATAATGAAAACAGTGAAACAGAAAGCATAAGTAAAAAAAATAAAAAACTTCCGATTGATGTACAAAACATAATTTTAAAAACATCAATAAGGATGAGAAAAAAGTATAAATTTAATACCGATCAGTTACACAGGGAAGATATACATCCAGATAATAAATTAGATTGGCAATTAGATGATAATGATAAAAATATCCTAAAGATATTATCTCCGAATGATATTAAAAATATTTCTTCTGATTTTGCTGAACAAAATAATATTGTTTCAGATGACAAAATTACAGCAATTTCTAATAAAAATCTAAAGTATGATTTGCAAAATGATGAATTTGATTATGATAAATTTATAAATAATTTTAATCAACTTCCATCTCCGCTTGATCAATGTAATGAAGATATTTCATACCTTGGACCAGGTTTGTCGCCAACATTCAATTTTGCTGCTTATGCTGACAGATCCGAACTTATTCAAACATATGTGAAACTTGGAGTGGAATTATATAAATTAGAAAACAATCAGGATCATATGAGGGCACTTCTTACTGTAGATTTAAAAAAGGAATTACCAAAATATCTACAATTTTTTCATGATTCTGGTATAGCTGCTGATGATTTCGGGAAAATTATAACAATGTGTCCTATAATTTTAAAAGAAGACATTGTGGATATGGAAACTAGATTAAGATATTTAAGAGCTCATAAATTTACACAGCCAAGCATAGCACGAATTATAACGAAAAATCCGACATGGCTTACATGGGCAACAAAACATATAGATGAAAGACTTGGTCACTTTCAAAATGAATTCAAACTTAGTGGATCAGAAATACGTTTTCTAGCCACCAAACAGCCAAAAATTATTACGTATAATATGAAACACATTAATGAGAATACATTTGCATTTATAGAAGAGATGGGATTTGGTGCGAATGAAGCAAAAATTATATTACTCACAAAACCACGCATTTGGATGCAAAGTATAGTTTATGAATGAATTGAACATTTATGAATAATAATAATTTTTATTTACATTTTACTTTAATACATTTTCAGATCGAGCAAAAACTCTTAAAACTTTTGAATACGTTCACAGATCTATGAATTTATCGCATGATATAATGCTTTCAAACATTGAAGTTCTATCTTGTCGTGTAAATCGCTTAAAAAACAGGCATGAATTTCTTTTAGAATTAAATAAGGTACAATATGATCCAAAGAGTCCAGGATATATTTCGCTAAAGGCAATAGTAAATGGATCTGATGAAGAATTTTGTAAAGATGTAGCAAAATCATCGATAGAGACTTACAATCAATTTTTAAAAACACGTTAATATATTCATTTTAAAATAAATAAATATTATTTTATGTATTATATGAATTACTTTATACATCTTGTTGTAAAATATACTTAAAAAATATTTGAAACAAAAAAATAACGATGCTTTACATTAATTAATTAATTAATATTACACCGTTCTATACATTTTCACTTATTGAAAATTTATTTTTCTTTATTCTCATAAAGTCATAACTTGATACAATAATTTTGTGCTAAATAATAATATATAAAAATGTTCTGAAAGATTATAAATTATTATCAAAATTAACTATAAATTAAAATAGATGTAACTGTATAAGCATTTATGAAATACGGTTACAAACTTGTAGATCGGTTTTATCTTACAAAATTCAAATTTCATTTCATAACAGAAAAATCATTGAAATACGAATAAATTCAGTTTTACTAGTTCATTTTAATTAAATTTTCCTAATTCGATTTTTTTATGTATTGCTCTTACTGAATGATAAAGAAAAGCATCAAAAATACTGGCAACTGTAAAAGTTCCACCGATAATAGCACAGGTGTTTGTTAAAAGATGACCAAATGATTTCACCGTTTGTGTGTATTTCACCATTAATGGACTAAGTTCGTAGTTGAAAAAAATGCCAGGTACTCCTAGGTCTTCAGAAAATGAAACACTTCTATAATGTCTTGTGACAGAAAACTGATTTGTTTGAAGAATCGATCCATCCAGTCTCATGAATGTAGTAGGAACTATTTTCATATAATGGTAAAACATCATAGCACCTAAAATATATAAAAAAAATGAAAAAATGTATGAAAAAAATAGTAAGATAATCATTATATAATTTAAAATATTGCTTATTCCATGTATACTCAACAAATTTCCTTACCTTTCTCCTTTTCTTTAATTTTTTTTTTAATTTCGCACTTCAATGTACAAATATATACATTTATCAAGAAACTTTCATCTCAAAATTATACTACCTAAGTAACATCATTCCCAATTTATAATTAATGAAATACATAATAATTATGGAATGACGTTCTAAACCCACAATGTTCATTAGCAAAAATTCTCTATCCTCCATTCTTCGATATACTTTTTCAAGTTGAATTTGAAAATTGTTCCTATTTGCTTAACATGCTGCGCATAATGATTTGCGCATATTTTTTTATCTCATCGGCATGCGCATGTCGTCGACAATATGGCTGACTTGTTAAATTAGGAAGAAAGGTTTGTTGGCTAAGCCGATTTGTAAAAAATTAATTATTGTTGAAATAGACGAACCGTATAACGTAAATGTAGTCGTAATTTTAAAAGTTATAAAAAATTGATATTTTTAATATATTATTTTAGATGACGATGACCGTTGCTTCTAAACCTTTTTATAAGGATCAAAAATGTTGGGACAAACTAAAAGTGGGTTTTCTGATTGGTGCGTGTGTAGGAATAGCCTCCGGAGCAATTTTTGGTGGATATAGAGGATTGCGGTATGAATAATTTTATATAAGGATCGTTTATAAATATTTATGACTAGAACAAAATTATGTATTGTGATCATTATTTATTGATTGAATAATAACATTTTTTCAATGTCATCATATACGTAAACACATAATAAGATAATGAGAGATAAATTTTTGCTCGACCTATCGAATAAATGTATTATGATGTAATAGATATAAGTTATTATTATATAATTAATTATTTAAAGGAGCTTATAAATAATAATGAATAATATATTAGGTTTGGTTACCGGGGTCAAGAATTAATATATCACACTACAAAAGAGATGTCAAGTGGAGCAATAACTTTTGGAACATTTATGGCAATTGGAACTGGTATTCGATGCTAATGTATGGAAAGCAATGTACATAATTTTAGACTATCTTGGCTTATATTGTAAAATCTCAGTATATATGATGTGTATTAAAATAAAATAATTTTAAGGAAATAATGATGTTACCTTCTGAGGCAATTACTGTAGAATTATCAATAGGGTTCGTTTTTCCAGGAATGTTTGTTCCAAAACTTAAATGTCGAATTTTGTGCGTTAAATTGAATTGTGAGATAGAAAATGGTTGTAAATCGTGTACTGAAATGGAATTTAATGAATTAATTGCTGTTGTATAATTTTAATACGTTCTTATGATTATTTACCATGTAAGTGATTACTTAGGAAACTTTCGCCTGGTGCTATATGAAAACTTCCTCCTACTCTATTGACTTCTATATATCCATAAATTTGACATCCTTCGTTGAACGCATGTTTCAATTTCTCAGCCGACTTATCATTTTTACATTGTACAAAGATAGAAGGATCACTGATTGCCCATTTTTTTATTCTATACGCAGTTTTAACATCTTCGCACGTATTACAACACCTGGAAGATTTTAATAACTTATTGTACAGCTTATGCTTATTTAAAATTATAATCTTAATAATGCAGCACGCTTACTAACTTTAAACCTTGTTCTTCATTTGCTGCTCCATAGCAATCACCACATTGCACTGCCGTTGTATTATCTGCTGGCTGGTTTTAATCTTATATTTAGTATATTAACTTTATTAAAAAAATATTAAATTCAATACAATATGATGATATACCTTTTCGGTAGATTTTTTAATATCAGCAATCTCTGAGTAAGAAGCAATTAGAAATAAGTAAATTGTCAAAGGCAAAAAAAGGTAAACAATTTGTTTGTTATACCTGTTTTTTTTGGATCTTCGATAGGTTTGCCACTGAGATCTAATCTTCTTTTATAAATATTATGATCGATATGCAAATGTTGCTCTCCAGTCATATCTATAGCATCTATCAATAATACTAAACAAAACAATATAATCAGCCTGTAAATTGAAGATATATATTTTTTTTATTATTAAATTGATATACTTACAATCGCAAGCTATGGAATGAACAATAATATCTAAATTAATTTTCAATTTAGAACCTCTAGAAGTATCGACAAACAATTCTTCTTTCAAATGCGGAGTCAAGAAGTCATTAACTTCAGAGAAAAAAAGTAGCATCATAATAATAGAACTAACAATTGTCACTAAAAACATTATGAATAATGTTAATATGTTTAAATAGTGTTAGGTTTTTAGAATCTATATATATATATATCTATATATATATATATATATATATATATATATATATATATAAAATTAAACTTTAGAAAATTTATGTTGTCAATTAAATGTAATACTCGTTTATCCATTTATTAAGTAATTGCATAATAGTAATGCAAAATAGAAACAATATGCATGAGTAAATTGTGTACGGTATGGCAGATTTGAGGTTAACAATTAAATTATTTATCTATTTACCAATAGCACCGCCGTATGTCTTGATTCGAAAATCTTCAAGGGTTTTTGGATATGCATCGAATTGTCGTAATTTTTCGGGGATATTCATTTTCGACTTAGTCGTAGCTCTTATTATTGTAACGTCAGCATCTGATATTTGACTATCAAGTCACCGGCAACAGTATATTTATTCCGGTGAAAAAATCGTACGAAGCAAAGCCGATAAACTGTATCTGTCACTGGTGACGTCGTTGGTCGTTTCCTCGTGGTAAGTCTGTTACGTGGCAGATGGCAGATAACACACGCTTGACTAGCAACAGCCTCAATGTCTGTGCAATATGACTGTACTTAAAATGTCAATGCGACAATAATAAACACACCCAAACAAAGTGAGAGAAAAAGAAAAGGAGAGAGAGAGAGAGAGAGAGAGAGAGAGAGAGGGAGAATAAGAATTATGGCCTGTATGCTTTATGAATGCAGAAGGGGAGAAAAAGTAAGAAACAAAAGAGGATGTAGTTCTATTGTTCTTAAATTTGTATTTTAAATCAATCACAACTACGATTGTGTTTTTATTTGCATTTTCTTTAATTATTATTTTAAAGAATCAATTGGTTGCATAGTAAACAAACTATTTTACCACATAATATTATGAAATATATAAAACAACATTAAAATAAATATTATTTTTTAAAATATATATTCAAAGCATCATATGAAAAGTTAAATATTTATATTTTAATTTATATATGTAAATATGTGTGCGAGCATATATTTACACGATGAAAGAGGTTTTTATTCCATAAACAACTGCTATCGTTCATTTCTATACTACAGTCATAACTATAATATGTTAAGTACTGTAAAGTCAAACAATATTGAAATTTATATTAGAGATTATAAACAATAACAGATTTGACTTATACATAAAATTTAATTATTGTTTATCTTTATATATAAAAGAATAATAAATCATAAGATAAATAAAATCAATAAAATTCATATTGGAAGTTATTTCAATTTGAAAATTAATGCCATAAAATTAATTAAATTATTTGAGAAATTAATAATTATTTCAGAATTACAAATAAAATAATTTAATATTTGAGACTAATATAATAAAAATCTTATTTTATAATATTTACTTTATAAAATAAAATACAAATTAATTTCATATTACAAAGTAAAAATTGAAGGAGAAGGATGAATAGATTATGCTTGAATTTAGCTATTTTTATGACAGTGTTTTCTTCTCTCTATCTAATATGTATTTCAATATGCTTAATAATAAGGAACTTGGTGTATAGGATAGATATTCTTAAACTATAAGTACATACAATAATGGCTTCTACATTTATTTATTTCTTTATCCATATTTATAATTATTTTTCTTCAAATTCAGAATTTAAATTGTGTTATTCAATAATTCCATATAATTTAATTGATTAGTTTTTAAAAGAAATAAAACAAAAGTTATTTAAATTGTTGAATTTAAATTGTTTATTTTTTCTTATACATTACAAACAACCTACATGTTCATCTAATTAGCATAAACGTTTCATTCAATATGCAAGTAAACAAAAATAAATTGTTTTTGCATAGAAAAATACTAAATTCCACATTTTTTACTTGATATAAAAATACCAGTAGTCGAGCATTTATTATTTCTGTATTACTAATTATCTACATATATAATCTTGTACATAATAAAATATGAAATAAATTTAAATAATAAAAAATTAGTTTTAGTAAAATATATATTTTTGTGACTTTCTATATTTTACAATACTCGATATAAAATAAAATTTAACACAATACAAATATTGTTATTTGTAATTTTTTTATATAAATAAATTCATATTAGTATAATACATATTTATTTCGAAAACAAATAATATTAACAAACACATTAAATCATCTTAATGGAAAATTTTGAAATACTTTTACTGGCAATGGGCCATGAACGTACTAACACTTTATGCAATATCTATACTTTAATGTCATATCTGTCTTATACAATCATAAAATAATCGAAATACATATTATATAATGTAGTTAGAAATTGACATTTATTCGATTTACACAAATCATTAACGAACTTATAATTAATAAATGGACGGCGCTTTGATTAAATAAAGAAAAATAATTTCCTTAGAGATAGATGATCATTGATCAATCACGGATATAAATATAAGATAAAATACTTATAATAGAATTCTAAGTGTTGTACTCGATAGCTTTGTTATTGCTTAAAGTACACGATCAATTATAATGGATAAACACATTTTAATGAGATAATCGTTAACGAATCAAATCAACAAAAGTTGTTTGCTTATTCCTCCATTGTAATAATATATAAAGAATAATTGTTATCGATATTCGATCGTGCGATACTGTTGATTGCAATAATTCCTATATAAATGGAATTAAAAATGAATGATTTGTAACTGCATTGATAGATAAAAAGTTGTTAGGAGCTTATTATGAACGCGGAATACCTGCTTCTGCTTAGCAATTGATTTAGTAAAAAATTTAAAAGTGATATTTGTTGATGAACTCTTCTAATAAATCCAGTTAACTGGGACCCATTGATCCTCACTTGCGAGGGCATCGAGAGCTGCTACAACTTGCCGGAAAGTTTCATCGAAGTCCTCATTAACAATTACGAGATCGATATATTTTTCGTAGGCTCGCTGCAAAGCTGCAGATTCCTCCACCGTTGATTTCAGATCATCCTCCTGAATATATTAATTTCTCAATATTTCAATCCATTTTTTCTTTTAAGCAAATATTTTATTTAAAACAAAAAATACTTAATTTTTGTCATAATTTCTTGCTTTACCTAAGATTAATCCGAATCAAAATTAATTTTCTTTAAAAAAAAAAAAAAAAAAAAAAAAAAAACATCAAAACTCAATGGAACTATTTATTTACATAGTTCATATACAACATAGTACTTATGTATTTGGGTTAAAATTTATGATAGAATTATTTACAATAAATAATTATATTCATAAAATGCAGAAGGATATTTGTATGGTTATTATTAGTTTTTAATGGCGTGTAGCGATTAAATTGCCTTAATTTACCAAAATAGTTATTAGATTTTAATTCTTTTGTTTTTTTTTTGTTTTTTTTTGTTTTTTCTTTTTTGTTTTTTTTTTTTTTAATAGCATATTTTAAAATACAGTATTTCTTATTTTATTAAGCATACAAATCTGATTAATAAATAAAATGTAAGAAAAAGGAAATAAAATTTAAGTTATTATTAATTTGAAAAAAGTTGAATATCTAGCGTGCAATATACAAACCTCATATAGAGATGCTAAGGATTCCAATGTTCTGGCGCGTCTTGAGCTATATCTGATGGAACTCTGACGATCAAACTAGCAAGACCAACAGTAAACAACATTGCGTAATACTTAAAAAATTTTATGCAAAAGATGATTATAAACTAAATGAATCGATTGTCATAATGATTTAAATACTACGAAAATTTCAATATAATTATAATGACTTTTTTTTTCTTTTAAACATAAATAAAAGAATTCTAATATAGAATACAAATTATATTATTCTTGGAAGAGAAGTTTTGATTTTATAATAATTACAGTGTCAAATTATAAATCAGAAACATTCAAATTAAAACTTTAACTTGAAATGTTAATTGCATTTTCTTTATATTAAAAATTGAAAAATAACGTCTATTATTATTATATTAAAAATTGAAAAATTTAATCGTCTATTAAATATGAATGATTTGGGAATGAAGGCAAACGTTCGGGTATCATAATAGCAGTTAAATTAATTTATAATAATGCTACATTATAAAATAATACATTCCACAAAACTAAAGTATTTGAAAGGCAAATTAAATTATGCATTCATTTCTAAGTAAAATGATTGAGAATTTTTGGATATACGAATGCATTATTCACTCATACGCACATACATTATATTCACACGCGCGCGCGCGCGCGCATATATATATATATATATATATATAAATATATATGTATATATGTATATAATGTACATGTTTATTGAAATAGTTTGCTAACTTATATAATAATAGTCATATGCAATGATATTTGAAACAAAGCAACTAGGATTTAAAAATGATGTAGAAATATATAAATGAAAATCAAGTATCAAGCATTATACGATAAGGGAATAAGAGAGGGCAGGGATAACTACAATAGCAGGTAATGTTACCGTTAAATTTCGACTGCTCGCTCCCGTAGACCTTCCAAAATCGTATAACGACTTGAGCTGTTCCATTCCTGGTGCCGCTACGAATATAACGTATGGCATAAATTCTGTGCTGTTGTGAAGGATCTTTAATGCGGCTGGACTACAGTCAAGGACGCACATTTTGCCGGCTCGTATGAGTTCGCGTACGGAGTCAAGTTTCGTGCCGTATAGATGACCTCCGTGTTCTCCGTGCTCCAAGTAACGATGTTCACGCACATCCATTTCCATGGACTCGCGATCTGTGAACCAATAGCTCTTGCCGTTTTCTTCCAACACTCGCGGTGGTCGTGACGTAACTAAAATACATTTACCCATGTTGGCATTGGTGAGAATAGAAAGAAAGAGATGCAACGAATATGTATTCAGAGATAATGAATGCAGAAGAAAGAACGAGAAGACTCGATTAGGAAAAGAAAGATGTGTGTCGTCTCCGGTGTAGAATGACGTCACCGATAATTGATAAAATCACATCTTTTAACAAAAAAAATTGGTTAAGGAGACGATAGATTTTTTTCTACGTCTAATGTCCTCTCCCATTTATCGGTATTCTTTCAATTATTTATATATATATATATATATATATATAAATAATTATATATTATATATTATATATTATATATATATATAAATAATATAAATATATATATATATATATCCCTGCTACGAGGGCATACTGCAAGTTATTACAGAACCCCATCTCCTTTAGCTACATTTCGCATGCTATCAAAAGTCCCATTACCAAGTAATTCCCATTCAAATAAAAAATTTAATTATTTTTCACTTAATAATGGAATAAGAAAAAATGAAATAGTACTACTTTTTATACGAATACTATTTAAGAACTAGAAAATAATCAATATCGAATAACCCGCCGAGCGATCTTAATTTAATCACGGGCATCTTTAGTTTACATTACGTAAGGCCAAGAAAGTACGCTTACAAGGTACAATGGTGCCAAACTTATCAGGATCACTGTTGATGAGTCGATTTTTTAAAGTTCTACGACCCACACCTCTTGGACCCACGAGTGCCAACGTCTTACGTCTGAATGGCGGCATCCTCGCAACTTCCTCGTAGAGTAACAACTCCGCGCTGTCAAACTCCCCATTAGATTTAGATTGATACATCTTGCGCTTCTTCTTTCTGGAGATGCGTGTGCCGCAGATGCTGATCTTGTGAACGAAGTCTGCCTCCGGTGGGACAAAGGCTTTCCGGCGCTCCTCGAGCTCGAGAGAGGGTACGAGTCCAGGTGGTCCCAGGTTGTCGCTTTCGATGCGTCGTGCCTGCCACCAGTTGGGATCCGCCTGATCAACGATTTGCAGGATGTCGCCCTTTTGAAAGGGTAGCCCGATCTCACGACAGGGCAGCAGTGTGTCCTCCGATGGCTCGTAATCGAATAACGCGCGCATGTAGCACTAGGAATAATTAATTACAAGATCTAATATTATTTCAATGCTTTTTTCGTTTATTAAATAGAGTTTGATTAAATGTTGTCGAATCGTCTGATTTAACGTTAGATAAAACGTATGGGTTATATTAAAGCTTTAAAATATTTGTGTGTGTGTGTGTGTGTGTGTGTGTGTGTGTGTGTGTGTGTGTGTGTGTTAGCTAACCAATGTTATTGTAATATAATATTCAGTTACAAAACAATTGGCAATTAAACTTACAATCAGAGTACATAGAATTACATGATCAGTCATATTTATTTCTAAAATTTATAGAAATTCGTTTTTCACGCATGTAGGGCACATGAAAAAATCTTCTTTTTTTCTTATTTTAATGTAAAATTATATAAAGGATTTCACACGTATTAAGTTGTATGAAAATTCATTAAATTATTATACAGTACATATGATAAATATATGCAAAAGGAATATTATACACTGAAAGCACACGATTAAAACGAATAATGAAATGAATGAGAAAGTTAAATATAATAAGTTTCAGATTTATTACCAAATGCAGTATGGATGCACTTACCATTTGAATCAATGTATGCATATTATAAATAAGACGAAGTTTATTCGTATGCATTATTATAATAAAGTGTCCTCTTTTAAAAAATATCGAATCGATTAACAATACTATTGATTTAATGTGTCGACTTAAATTGCATTACCAATAATATTATAAATTCTTAAATATTCGTAATTTTTAGAAATTAAAAGGGCATTATGTATAAGACAAAACATGCTTAAAAAGCCTTAAAAAAATTAATTTTTACGACATAGATAATCATTCTTTCTGAGAATATTAACAGTGTCAAACTGTAAAGTGTTGAACGTGCGTTATATGCGAATTGATAAATATAAAATGTGTAAAAACGATTGAATAGAAGAAAGTTTAGAAAGAGGGTTTAGAAATACCTTATTATCAGTCTCCTTTTGTCAGACAATCGAAAGCCAAGCAAATAAAAATTTGATTATTAGTATAATGTAGATCGAAGCTAAACCGAACATGTGGAGTTTAAATGAAATTTAAAGCAAGTGTTATTAAAGTACCGTTGACTTGATGGGCCGATTACCATCAGCTGCTATTCCGGGTGCGAGTTTTAACGAGAGATTCTCCTTAGCTTCTTGTATAGATTGCTGTAGCTCGTCAGGATTATGCACTAGTTTGCCGTTGACCTCGAGTATCACCTCACCAGGCCTCAGGAGACCCTGACGTGCCGCGGTGCTACCACCCAAAATACGAGCGATTATTAGGTTGCCATTTTCATCCACTTGAATCGTTAGGCCCTGAAATTGAAGGCCAATAACTCATCATTATTTAATTTTCTCATTCATTATCATGATAAAATGCATCATCGATCTTATAATTAATTGTCCGAGTGTAGACTGAGTCAAGGGCCTGGCGATGCTCTGTATTTATAACGCTTATACATTACGTATTGATCGATCAAAAAGACCATTGAAAATTAATAAAAAATATTATATCGATTAAATAATATAAAGCATTCGTAATAATTCGTAAAGTGCTGACTATCTAATTACCCCCTTCCCGCTCCCTCTCCTTAAAAACGGCACAATGCCACTTGAATTAAAGGTCGCGCGCGTCATTTTGGTGATCATATTATACAAATCCGTGATTTTACGGACCAAAGGCTCGTCGGGTTGCCTCCTGAGACCAACGATTCTCACGGCCTCGGCGGCCCGC